ATGCGAATATTCCTGAAATTACACTAAAGAGCAAAGAAAACGGTATTTGTGTACAAAATACAGTCTAAATGCTAGATTTGTACGGAAAAGAGAGGTGAAATCACTACAAAAAAAATGGTCATTTCCAACGGGCAAATCCGTTGGAATTTCATCGTTAGAAATCAGTGTCCGTTGGACAACCGTTGAAATTTTCAACGGAATTTCAACGAATTTTTCGGTTGGAATTTTCCAACAGATTTCTAACCACGATCCGTTGGAATTTTTCAACGGAATTTCCAACCACAATCCGTTGGAATTTTCCAACGAAAAATTCAAAACATATTTTCGATCCTGACCCTAACCCCGACCCCGACCACGGTCCCGAAACTCACTTCTCAGTTGGTCATCCATTCTTCCACTACTCCAACTCAATCCTTCTTAACCCTAGAGTTCCAATTGGCAATCATCCAGCTGCTCCAAGTTAAACTTTTGATATCATATAACATTAATATATATACATATATAAATATTTATACATATAAATCTTTATATATATACATACACACATACATATATATACATATATACATATATATATATATTTATACGTATATATATATATATTTACGTATATACATATTCGAATTCATATATATATAATATATATTTGTTATGTATATATATATAATTAATATATATATATATATATATATATATACACATTATATTTGTATATATAAATATATATGTACATGTATCGATAATGTGTATATATATACATATATATATATATATATAAATATATAAAATACATGTATTTAAATATATATATATATATATATATATATATATATATTTATTAGTATATATTTTTCAATTGATTTTTCAATTAAAATCCAAATTTCCAACCGATATCCGTTGGAATTTTTAAAAACAATTTCCAAAAACAATTCCAACCGACATCTGTTGGAATTTTTTTTTTAATTTTCAAAAAAAATTCCAACCGACATCCGTTGGAATTTTTTTCCAACTAACATCCGTTGGAATTCCGTTAGAAATTTTCAACCGATTTTTTCAACGGATATCCGTTGGAAATACCATTGGAAATTTTCGACCCATTTTTTCAATTGAATACGTTGAAAATTCCGTTAAAAATTTCCAACAGGCGGTTCCAACGGAAATTTCAATGGACTTTTAACGGAAATGGTCGTTGAAAATCCGTTGAAAATTTTACAATGGACAACGCCGTTGGAAAATCCGTTGGAATTCGATATTTTTTTTGTAGTGAATACAACTAAAATTATAGAAAAATAACGTCAAAAACCGATGTTATCAAAGTATTATATGAACACGAGCCATAACTTAAATCTCATGTAGCAGTTCATTCGAAAATTTTTAGGCATATGATGTCTAGAGTATGAAAGTAGCGTACATTATTTTCAACGGGATGATCATAATTGTTAGAGAAGAAGATAGATCAGACAACTTGGACATCGAACTTGGACAAGCAATCTCAAGTGAAGTCACGAAGACACTTGCGCATGGGATCCTTTCTTTTTAGAATTGACTCTGTTTTTGTAAATATTTGGAAACATTTTCTGCATTAATTCAATCACATTACATGAAAAAAAAAAAGTCACGAACACAAACTTGGACTCAAGATTCACGGACTCAAACTTGGACTCAAGACCCAACTATACAAACAATGAGACCCAAATGCAAGAAGGATGAGGTGGCGTACTTGACATAATATGGACCATATCACTTGAATAGGTTGGGAGTTTTAACCATGTTTAGGAGTTTTCGGCTTAATAAGTATCCAGAAAAAGGATATCCGAATATTAATGATGATGATACTGGGTATAACGAGACTGGGATTTTGACTCCGGATCCGAGTTTGGTATTATTATTTTATAACGGATTACCTCTAGATACCCGATATATTTGTTAAAAATCCCAAATATCCTTTATATTTACGTAAGGTATTATAAATATTTACTTAAATATCTTTATTTTATTTAACTTATTTATTTTTTCTTTTTAACCATTCACCTAAAGCCTCACCAAACCCTAGTTTTACCATTATTCATTTTACAACCATACTTTATCTTTCTCTCTCACTCATCTCTCCATGCGATTCTTTTTTTTTTTTCTTTTTTTTGCTTTTTTCTTCATCTCAGCCTTTCTCCTCTCAATTGAACCCCTCTCTCACACTCCTATCCTCATCTAAATATCTCTTTTAGGTTTTCATTAAGATTTTTTCTCTTCATTTTAATTCTCTACAATTTTACCTATTTGTTGAGATAAGGATATTATTCTTTATTAATTTCGATTTTGTTTTATATTTAGATTGTTTTTCTGCCTGTATACAATTTTCTAATTTCTATAATTTTGGATTGGTTTTTCCTATTCTACGTGTTTTTATTTTGTTAATTTCTTTTAGGATTAATATTTATGCGTTTGTATATCTATGGATTCGGGTACCCGCCAATACGGACCGGAAATCTCATCAAATCCGAGTTATAGGTACCTACATCCCATAAAACCAGGACTAAGATAATTTTTTTCTAAAACCCGTGATGATGAAGTCGATATAAGGTTCCACAAAAATGGAGATACTCGACCCTTGAAAATCCTAACAACAAATTACGTGCACAAGATTGACATAATCCTAAAATAATGCAAGGGGATCATGCTACATATTATCATATTTGCTTTTAGTTTCCATTTATCTTTTTTACCGTTAATTTCTTTCCTTTTGTTTCCTTACGAGAATTCTTTTTATGTCGACCACTTCCATGTATATATGTTTGTTACATGAACAGTAATAAAATAAGTCTCTAAGTATTTACCGAGTTCATTTTCATCTCAATCCATCATCATCATCATCCATTCTCTTCTTTGTTTTCCAATACTTAATCTAAAAATCTTTAATATAACAGTGTTAATCAGATACGTTCACGATTCAGGTAGAGATTAGTGGCGGATCCAAAAGAATTTTGTAATGGGGGCAAAAAATAAAAAATATATATATAATACAAAAAAATTAATTAAATATATGGTACAATTTTTTTATTTAATTAAAAAGAAAAATAAAAATTTAAAAATGGAAAATAAGAAGGAAAAAAGAAAAAAATATACGAGATATAGATTTTTTTATTTGATTTGTTAGATAACGTTTTATGATACACTCAAAATTCACATCAATGGGATCCACAACCAAATTATAATGGGGGCATTAACTGTATTTTTCCAAAATCTTTAATAAATTTTATAAATATTTAAAAAAAAATCAGTGGGGGTCGCCCTTGGTGGAGATAATTAATAGATAATCAAAAAGAGATTTGACACATCTTTAACAAGAGAGATATCGAAGGGTTCCACGTGAAAATCGGATTGTGAAAATACATGGTTGTGCTATAGAAGAATGATTTATCTATCTTGTCAGTCGATTTAACGGACAAAAAAAGATTGAATTAGAAGGGTTGTTTATTCAATGTCCTTATTCAACATATGAATCAAAACTTGAGCTATTATCGTCTTGGTTAGATTGATGGATATGTTGATGTGACCATGATCGGTTTCAAAAACTGATTAGAAATTCATGTGATAGGTTTAGATGGTCCAATGGACCTATATATTGATTAATAAAGCTAATGTGTTATGTTCTATGATAATAGACTCAATCGGCTAATGGGTTATGACAATAGATCTATTTGGATTTAATGCAACTCTAATCCAATATAACATGTGTAAGACACATTTGTGTGCAAGAAGAAGGAAACTTTGTTTTCCTCATCTCCTTGGCTGACACCGTGCTCCCTCCCATGGCTCTCTCGATTTTCGTTCTCGTTCACCATATCGCGTTCTAGCAAACGTCCCAACACATAAGTGTTGACTATATGTAGAGAATGTTGTTTTCATCGTTTATAACAGAGATCAAATAGGTTCGTATATCGATACCTTTATTATTGTATATATATATGATTTGTTCATTGAGTTTCGTTTTATCTATTTCCACTGCATGAAATTCAAAATTAGAATCCTAGAAATCGTTGTGAACGCATGTCTAGAGATCTTCAAAAATCTAACATAGATCATTTGTAACTCAATTCAACGTGGATGATCATGTCGTCTTGTTAGAGGATAACCATAACTTGTAGTTCAAAAATGATTTTCGAGGCTACTACCACTTCCAATAGATCTAGAGGATCATAAATAAATAAGTATGGTCTCACATTTGAAGTATTTGAAAGATGAAATTGGATTTACCAAACAAACAGGTTGTCGAGTCAAATCGAACGTCCGAATGGAATTTTCAGTTTGCTAATTCGGACTAGTCTGAGTTTAGAACGGAACAAGCCAATTTGGTGAGAGTTTCGGATCGAAACTAGGTCGAACGGGACCGTAATTGATTCTAGATCAAACCAATCCAGATCGGTCCGGTCCAAGCCCATTTAATCCGAGTCAAAAAAAAAGTTTCAGGCTAGCCCATGCGAGAAAGTAAAGCGGACATGTCCAAACCTGGAACGGACTGATTTAAGTCTCAAAGAAAATTTTTCTTTTTTGATTTTTTAGAGTTTCAAACTTATTAATACTTGGGGAATGTCTTCCAAACATCTATCAACCTCCAGAACTCAGAAGTCATTCTTTTGGTATTTTAGTTCTCTGGATTTAATCTCAAGTAATAAATCTCTTCACATGTTCTAGTATATCAGTTCCGAATTATTTGAAATCCTTCACGTAGGTCTGAATAAATGTAGACGAGTTGTGTTTTCATCCATAATAAACAAACCTCGGATTGAATTGTTAAAAGGTTCAATTGAATTTGAGGTAAGTATTTGATTCCAAATGTGATACACGTTCATCGGTTTACATGTTGGTTTCTTGTTATGGTTTACACGTTCCAAATGTGATACATGTTGGTTTACACGTTCATCAGTCTGATCCGATCCGAGTCATTGGTCCAATTCGGCCCAAATTGCTTGTAACGGTCTTTTCGATAGAAATAATCATTATCATTATGTAAAGACAATTTATAGAATATAAGATATATAAGCACACATTCACATGATTCAATGGAACATAAGACAAACCAGAAACGCGAGTATGTAAAAAATCCATATTGGTAGAGAGAGATCAGTTTCTCTTGAGGGCTAAGGCAGAGACGACGATCATTAAAAGAAAGAAAACAATGGCGGTGGAGGCAGAGACGACGGCGCCGCTAACGCTCTGACAGAAGTCACCGAACTGTTGGCAGATCGGTAACCAGTTCGTGTTCGGATTCCCATTATGTGCCAAATACACTATCGCAGCTGCGGCTGGCGGGGGCC